CTCTCACTGCGAAACCATCTTCCTGCCTCTGGCCTCAGCTCCTCTCCATTCATCTGCCACATACCCCCTTTGCAAACACAAAGTTGACTGTGCCACTCCTCCAATGAAACCCTGGTACTGGACACCTATTGCATGAGAAACAAATATATTTTTCTTAGTGGAATTTCAAAGTGTTCCACCAAACCCTGGCCTATTTACATTTCGGCCTCATTTCCAGCTACTCGCTCGCCGTCATTCCTTCTACCCACCCCATCCTTAACTGTGAACATGCTAGACCTTTCCATGGCACGTGCTTCTGTCTGGGAGCCCCTTCCCACCTTGTTATCTGTGAAGGCCTGTCTGAAATGTTGGCTCCTCTGTGACACTATCCCTACTGACCAAGCCAGAGGCATCTCTTCCCTGCACATGTGTGTCTGGTAGATGCTTCTGGTGCATGAGCATCATCATTACTACTCCGTGTCTCTCCACTAGCTGATGAGGAGCTCGAGGTCACAGGCTGGGTCTTCTTTGTCCCACCCAGTGCTTGCTCTATGTTGGTTACTCGGTGAAGATGGGGGAATGAAGAAAGGAATAAATGGATGAGTCTGTCAGCACAGCCTGTTGGCATAAGACAGTACCTGCTTTTCTGTCAGGATATTTGGGCACAGTGGCCAAAGTGAATGTTATCCTTTAAGCCCCCACTTGACCTTGGGAAAGGCCTATGTGAATTAGAAAGCTATCAGTTACAGTTTTTACCAAAAGTTGGCATTCTGGGTCACCCCTTGAGTCAAATACTGCCCAAACACACCCTGGCAGAAACTGGTAAGTGATCCGGCTGCCATGGTCAACAGTAAAAGAAGGTCATTTGTATAAGCTTCTTCAGATGTTCAGATGAAAGAGACTCCACGCTGCAAAAAGAACCTGAACTAGGGCTACTTTTCTTATTTCTTGTTTGTAGCCATTCCCCAAACATTGCCCCCCACGTGTGCTAAGCCGGTGGTATATTCTGACTGGAGATCCAGGCTCTGCTTCCAGGAACCCACAGTTGAGTGGAAGACGGACATCAATACACAAACAGAATAGAATTCTTGGAAATACAAGGCCCACATTAGCCTGGTTTATGATTTTAAATTTCTGGATTCAGAGTTGTTTCTGGGTAACTGATGTTACTATTGCATGTGGCATGTTGCTGA